AATTTAGATGAGGCTGTGTGGGATCGGGTCATGGCTGTCAACCTAACAGCGCCTTTTCTACTGAGCAGATTGGCTGTTCGTAATATGCTGGAGCAGTCGAATCCAGATGGCTATATCATGAACATTGTGTCGTTGGCGGGCAAGGCTGGTTGGACAGCTGGTATTTAATCTTGCCCTATTACTGCCTGTTGGTAACGCTAATGAATGTCTAGGTGCTGCATACACCGCAAGTAAGCATGGCTTGGTTGGTTTAACCAAGAATACCGCCGCGTTCTACGGGAACAAGGGTATCCGGTGCAATGCGCTAATGATTGGTGGTATGGCAACCAATATCACCGAGGCATTCATGGCAGGTGTCAATGAAGAGGGAAAGGACAAAGTGATTGGCGTTATGGGGTCCGTAGGGTCGCCCCTATGTGAGATCGACGAGGTTGCGGAAGTGTGTGTCTCTATGATATCTGGCAAAGGGAGCAGGCTTATCAATGGTGCCTGTATTCCGATTGATCATGGGTTTTCCGGTACAGTTGGATAGATATCACCGAGCTATGCTCTTTTTCTTTGTACATACTGCCTGTATAATCGGCATTGGCTTTATCGGACTCACACGCTAGGCATGGCTCTCTATATGGAACCCAAATAACATTTATGGATTCTGGCAAGGGCGTCTTTGTCCAAGGTTCGCCGTGTATCTCGTGCCTCAATGTGAGCTTTCTTTCACCAGGGCTACCTTCTATAAAGGCTCTCCCTGTACTTTGGACCATCGGGGTAGAACTGGAGGCGAAGTATGGTATTATGTTTGCTGGGATCTTGGAATATTTCGTAGGTGAAGGAAAGTTTGAATTCGTAGCAGTTACAAAGCAAGCTGATCCTATTATTTAGCACCCATGACTGCCTGTTGGCGTCCTTGTTCAGATGAGGCTTGGGCGTTGGCGAGTCATGTAGAATTGCTGTACCGCAACGGTTGTTCGTTATGTGAGTGGTGACATCTTTACTATTGGCGAGAATGGAGGTCTCTAACAGTTTAGTCTTGAAAAGTCGATACTATGATTCATATACATAAAGCGAAACGGTGGGCTTTTCGATTCCCTGAACAATGCTGCTGTTCTTCATATCGGGGTTGTGTTATATGGGTGTTCACAGTATAGAAAAACAAAGCGGCCACCGTGGCGGCTGTCTCAACTGACGGGGTAAAAACCCCGCGAGCTGAAACAAGCAATGAAGACATTCTCTGCCTAAATTCCTATCTAAGACACTTCAATCCATGATATAGCGATATATACTAAGCGTGTGATATCCATATTGTTCGCTGACGCCTTTATACAGAATCCAGGATACAAAATCCCTCGATATAAGCAATTTAGTAAGCCAGATTGCTTATAACGAGGTTTCACCTCACGGGGTATTCAGCGCATCGATAAATGCGCCTGTCGCGTCGCGTCGCGCGGACAAACAACCAACCAACCATTTAAAAATTGAGCCAGCAAAAGAAATCACCACCTTCATTCTACGTTTATACTCTCCCATCATGGGTCTTTCAGTTCAAGAGATGTGTCAACAAGACGAACAATTCGAATTGCTTCTCGAGGCTATCGACTCGGCCTCCCGCGGTACTCTCCAGTCAATTTTGAAGGCAGTGTGTCGAAGAGATCAATCGACCAGGGACCGAGTCTCCAAGTCACTTCTCATTACGGATGACCAAGTCCGATCGCCTTCACCTTCGGATGATGAAGAAGAGGACGACGGGAGTGTAAATTCGGACGATGAGCAATCCGAGGACGAAAAATCACACCCTAAACCAAGAAGCTCGAACCAGCAAACTGCAGGCTCCAAGCGACTTCGACAGCGTTATGCGTATTGCGAAAACTGTGAACAGGAGTTTGACGTCACGCAAAATACAAGCACCAGCTGCAAGTACCATCCGGGTTAGTAGGGTGTTTCCCTTTTCTTCTTGAGTTGCGAGCTTGTCTTTTGAGTGATTTTCTGGTGGTGGTGAAGGCTAAACTTTCTACCTCGGATAGCTGCTACCCTGATGGAGACTTCTTTGTGGATGATGATTACTATAATAATGGTGAGTATGACCATGGGGAGATGCTCGAGGAGTACCCAAAGGGTTATATCTATGAGTGCTGTGATCAACGCGGAGATGAGGAGGGCTGTACTGTGGAGAGACATAGCGAGCGCGTGTCTAGTAAAAGACAAAAGATCTACTGAGACTTGCTGCTCTCGGAGCTCGCTCGTATGTACATCAGCTAAGTTCTACCTTGTCTGTTATATACAACTAGATTTGTTTCTTGTGTTGAAATGAATTTGTGTAATCTGTACTGGAATAAATCACGCAGCACGTATATAAAACTCGAGCTAACATGTTTAATCTGGACCTTCTCTTCTTATTATCTATCAACCGTAACTGGGGAGATGCTGAGCGGATTGAGACCACTATGTATGTTGTGTTATGCTGCATTGGTTGTGCCTGGTCATATAGGGGTTGGTTTCTGTGTATTAATATCAGTGATGCATTTTAGTGTATAGGGCTTAGGATAAGGAGTAGTACGCGATAACCCCATTTTAGCCTGATCTGCCAGGTTGATGAGATGAAGGACTCATGAAGAATTTCTTCTATTGGTCAACAAGTCACTGCGGAGTCTATTTTGACGGAGAATTCCGGCGCTATTTGTTGAGCTACAGGCAACCCTCTTACACGCCATGCGGCTATGCACGGACTTTGGGATAGATGACTTCCAGAACATCCGGCCGCACCTTATGACAAATAGAGTACATTACACATAGTAACAAGTAGCAGAACATAGTAAATTCCAGTGATTGGGCTCTAGTAATTAGTCCAGGTGTCATTGGTCTACCTCGACCCGCAACCAGTCGCCTAGGCATCCGAACACACGAATCGATGGAAAACGTCGATCAATGAATTCGTTAGTAACGGAGTAAGAGGGGAAGCCAGAAGATCCACATTTCTAGGCTATAGTGCCAACGCAATCGGATATAAGCCAAGTCAACACCACTTAACCCCACCTAACTCCGACCACGGTGGCTACTACTTATATAGCCAAGTAGCATCCATCCTCAGCATGCATCCAGCTTCAAGCAACCTTCACCCAGGATCTATCCAACCACGATGAAGTATGTACGCCTCGGAACCAGTGGACTCAAAGTCTCCCCCATCTGCGTTGGCTGCATGAGCTTCGGCAGCCCGGGAAAGCCCTTGGAATGGACGATCCCGGAAGAAGCAGCCCTCCCCGTGCTTGACCACTGCTACCGGTCGGGCCTCAACTTCTACGACACGGCCAATGTTTACTCCAACGGCGAGTCGGAGGTCATTCTCGGAAAGGCGATCAAACAGTACAACTGGAGCCGTGAGAGCATCGTCGTCGCCACCAAGGTGTGGGCGCCAGTCGGACGGGACTCAGTGAGAGCACTCGGCATGTCCCACGAGGAGCGGGATAACAACGGATACCTGAACCAGTATGGACTAAGTCGCAAACATATCTTCGACAGCCTCGATGCAAGCTTGAAGCGGCTCGATCTGCCGTACGTCGACCTGCTGCAGATCCATCGCTTTGACCCCAACACGTCGCCCAAGGAGACGATGGAGGCGCTCCACGATGTCGTCAAGTCCGGGAAAGTCCGGTATATTGGTGCTTCGTCGATGTTCGCACACCAGCTGTTGGAGTATCAGTACACAGCCCGTATGAATGGGTGGACGGAGTTTATCACCATGCAGAATTTGTATAATGCTAGCTATCGCGAGGAGGAGCGAGAGATGTTCCCCGCTCTGGAGAAGTTCGGCATGGGCTGTATTCCCTGGAGCCCTGTTGCTATGGGGCTTTTGGCAAGGCCGTGGAAGAGCAACAGCACTGCTCGTGGGGAGTCGATGAAAGGGGGATTCCTCGGTAACGCTCTCAGTGACGCGGATAAGAGGATTAATGAGAAGATTGAGGAGATTGCTGCTAATCATGGGGTTTCGATGGCTACGGTTGCGCTTTCCTGGGTGTTGTCGAAGCCCTTCATTACCTCGCCGATCGTTGGAATGAGCAAAAAGGAGCGAGTCGACGAGGCTATTCAGTCTATTGATTTCAAGCTCAGCGAAGAGGAGATCAAGAGTATTGATGACTTGTACGAACCGAGGAAGATTATGGGGCACAGCTGAAGGGGCCAAAATAGTTATCTCAAGCTCGCCCAAGGTCCGTCGACATCAGCCAACGGGTGCTCGCTCGATATGTTCGGGTACTTGCTAAGGAAACGGGGAAGGGACCAAATCTATGGCTATGTATGTATCTACTGAAACGATTAAGTAAATTACATTGCTTCATCTTCATAGAAATACCTCGTATCTGATGCACATGTGGAAGTGAATAGAAATGGCCAGTTTGAAATTGAGAATCATGATAGAAAAAGGAAAAACAAGGGAAAAGCTAATAGAAATGAATGTTCGGGTCGCTCGTATAGATGTTTCAACTCACTACTGATGGTTCTGAGGTCCACGAGTCTTGAGAAGGAGCGAGATATATACCTTTGGTCATTTACAAAGTTCGTGCGCGGAGGATTGCGCTTCTGGATAATTGGATCGCAGTACAGGATTTACCTTTTCTAAAGAAGCTCCAATGGAGACCGGGGGAGTGGGTGATAGTTGTACATAGTTACTTTCACCTGTTCACAAGGCTAGATATGCACGGCAAACTATCTATCTCGAATTATGTCTTGAGTGGTATCGACCTATCTACACACCTTCAGCATCTTTTACGGGTTGTATGTGCGTTCCAGTATTGATATCCGTGCTATTCGATATGTATCCGAGACGCCAAGAAATATTTCATGTTAGACCTACATAACTAAAATGTGTAGGCCAACAACTGTTCATCTATTAGGATGTTTATGGAGATGTAAGGGACACTGAAGCAACAATTCGATCGCTCAAATTACTATATTACAAAAATCCCGCCGATAGTATATACTAAACCACTACCAACAGTCAAATGATGTACAGCTCATACAACGGGACAATAAAGCTGCAAGTAGAGCTGGTTCTTCGCGATCCCTACTTCGGGGTCATCAACCTTCTCACAGTCCACAAACGGGGAGTTTGGCGTGGCGTGAGACTTATCAATCCCCGTACAGGACAGCATCAGTCCACCGTCACAATTGACCTCCCCCACACTATCCTTCGAGCCCGTATATTTGCAGTTCTTATAGCTGCCCAGCGAGAAGGTGCCGAGTGAGGATGGGTACTTTTGACCCTTGGAGAAGAAACCCCCGTCGACGACCCTGTACTCTTTGAAATTACACGCCTCTCCGTACCATTTAGGATATGGTAGAAGCATCCCTTGCCAGGCCCAGGCAATTTGGGAACCTCCACCACCGTGGGCCACGGCCTGGATCTCCTGGGCAAAGACAGCGAACACCGAGGTCGGCGAGGGTGTGGGCGGGGCCTTGGTCGTGGTCGGCTGTTGAGTAGTCGTCATCGTAGTCTTGCTTACTCCGCTCGTGGGGTCGGCAGTTTCCCCTAGAGATCGGTAGATGGAAGCACCGGCTGCCCAGTCACCTGCAGCGTCAGTGGGTTCGTTGTCGGCATAGTCGTACCATGGCTCAGGGACTCCAGTCATAATAGGCGCAAGCGTATACGTGCCCAGTGTTGAAGTGCCCGTCGTGTCACAGCCAACGATATCTATGCACATTAGTTACTAGTCCCCGATATATTCAGAAATAGAAAGGAGGGAGAGGGCCGCTTGTTACCTTTACACGTGGATGTACAGGAGCTGGTAGAGGCAGCTGTGACACAAGCCGTGTTGCAAGAGCTATAGGTGGCTGTTGAACATTCTGAGCTGGTAGAGGAAGGGCCGCTAGGATTGTTGGGATCGTCTGGAGTGCCGGGATCGGGACTATTGGGATCATTGGGGAAGTTGTTCGGAGCTGTCGTCTGTTAGTTGCCGAGGTGGACTCACGACAGGATGAGGAGGATTTCCGTACAGTCCGAAACACCACAGCTGTGCCAACAGGGATGACAGACATGGAAAACTCTATTTAGCAGGCCACCAATATACATGAAACACCACAAAGCTTGGGGTTGGATGTGCACTTCGGCTTGGCGGGCCCGATGTGATGCGTGATAGGATGGCGATGATGATGGTCCTTGTGGCCGCCGTCATCATCATCATCTCCACCGCTACCACTAGTCGCATGGCTGCCACCCGTAGTAGTTTTGGTGGCCTCTCCCCCGTCGCTGGTGCTCGGGGAGCTTCTTGTTGAGGTCAGACTCGGATTGACTGAGGAGCCTGGCCATGGGGGCGGATAGAAAGGCACCACCGTTGTGGGGAATGTTGTCGTGTTCTGAGTGAAGCTGGGCCAGGTAATATTGAACGCGGTTTGAATCACACTGGGAGATGGGGTGATGACCGACGAGGTAACGCTGGGCCCGATAGGGAAGTTCCAGAGCGAAATCGTGGTACCACTACTTCGGGGATCCTCATTGTCGTGGTGGTGCTCGTTGTGAACCACGAGGTCGTTGTAGTAGTCTTCCCCAGGTACACATAAGAAGTGGTAACCGGATACCCTACCCCGACAGTAATAGGTAGAGGAGGATAGACAAACGTAGTCAGCGTAGGTAAGACAGTGGGAGGAATGACGTACGTGCACGGGGGATGGCAGGACACATTTGTGCCGCCAATAGGCCCACCCCATATGAGAGGGTCAAGAAAAACTGTTCCTGAGTCATTGCTACTCGACCCGATAACTTCACCCCCGGTCGAGAGTGCAAGCCAGGCGGCAATCTCACTGGTGAATCCATTCCTCGTGGCGTCATTGAACAGCAGCGGCGCAAGGCTTCCTCGAGGAGAGATAATTTCGACATTGACTTTGGTAAGGATGTCACAGCGATTCGCGGAGAATCTGTGAAGATATGAGTAGTCAAATGAGGGACGAGAAGGGAGATCTCATGAAAGATGAAAAAGGCTCCCCATGCCTTATCAAAGACGACGGGCGGATGAAGTCGCGCCAGAAGGCGGCAATGAAGGAGTTGAGAGCAGCTAAAACAAAATATGTCTTTCCGGTATATCTCTGCTACAGGAGCGCGTGGGGACAAAAGGGACGCAGGAGACCTTTTCCAAGGAGCAGGCCATAATGAACCCGCACAGCTATGTTTATACTAGGTATGGACTCCCTCTTTGCTTGATACCTAAGCTCGGTTGGTGTTAACAGTACGCGTTTAGCATTGCGTACGACTATACGCAAAATGAGAAATATACCGGCACGGATTCAAACGGCCCTGGAAAAGGTAAATACCCTATTGAATTTTACACTAGTTGGTCTACAAACAATACATGAGCTACTTCCATCCCATGCATCGCGGCTTTCGCAGCATTGCCCACTGTTTCTGATTATCGGACTTCTATGTATTCTCAGTCAAGACTCAACGTACCAATACTTTACGTGCAATCATTTTGGAAATGTTATAGTACAGGAAATCCGCCAAAGTCTGCTCTGGCATTAACACGTAGGTAGATAGATAATTGGAGTTTTGGCATTGCTTGAAATGACACTAATAAGTATCCTTCTCATTTAGGAGTACTCATAATAACGGCGTCTACAGTCGTAAAACTTAAGATCTTCCTCACTCAAAAAGCTATACCATCTTCGTAGATGATCGGATGCATCGACTCGAGCTTCGGTGGACCATAGTCCCATGTCAATCATTCTCTGCTCTTCCCAGATAGCGAAGCCATATTTGAGATACGCCGTTGGCCTTATATATTGACCCGGACCGCCATTAGAAGTATGATCCATGCGCCTCCAAAATTGTACACCAAGTGTTTCGCCATGGAGCGTTCGCCACTCCGGTCGGCTTGGAAATTCCCCAAACCCTTGAATAGGGAGAGGCACTGGGGATAGGATCTCCGGGTCACGTGGAGGATTCTCCACGATTATGAGTCTGTCCTCAGGCACGCGAAAAACACGATCCACTCCTACCCAACCCTCCGATCCATCACTGTCGCCCCCATCGCTCTCGTCCTCGTCACTCTCGGACTCGTCACTCTGGGATTCCTCGCCCTCGGACGCATTAGAAAGATAGAGATCTTCGTCCTCGGAGTCACTATATGAACCGAGTACCCGAAGCCTCGGCCGGTGTGTCACAAACGATCTGGGTTCAGGGAGCCGCGGGTCGTCAGGGTTCCAGCCTTGAGTCACGGCCCATAGAGATGGAGGTGGCTGACATGTCCAACCGAATTCTGTGCCCTCAGGGGGCTTGGGCAGCTCAAATAGTCTGAGCGGTTCGGATCCCTTCCAGAACTCCTCTTCGGAGGCTTCTGGATTTATTTGTTCACAAATAAAGCGCCATACAGTCATGGCTTGAAATTGCGCAGTATCCGTTGTAAAATGCTGATAAGAGCGATGTGGCAGTAATTGTGCAAGATCTATAGAACGCCAGGCTAGATGCCCTTTGCGCCCTTCTATTCGAAGCTTATTATAAAACAACAAACGCCAAAACGATAGAATCATTCGTTGCTCCTCGGTCCAGGTGGGAAAGTAGAACCACTCGGGATATTGTCTTTGGCCGAGCGGACTCCTCAGGCAGCGCTGAAGGCATCTTTCAATACAGAGATGTGCCAGAACATGGATTCTATGAGATAATGCCACAAACTTCCGTAGCTGTTCAGGTGTTGAAGTGATTTTCTTGGTAAGCAGCAATATATCGGTCTGGGCCTGCTCAAAACTGGAGTACGGATATATGCCAGTATAAAGATCAAGAACCTGCCGCATATAGAGCCGAGTCTGAACTGGGACAGTCAAGCTCAATACGGCACCCACTATCTCCGACGCCTCGTATTGAAGACTGCTAACAACCGCGAGGATGTTGTAAGCAGACTCCAGAGGGCGGAAATGTCCGTGCATTGCTGGAAGATTTCGTAGAGGAGCTCAGCCGGTAGCTGCGATAGGTAACATTGACGGGTACTATTGGAGGAATCCATCTTGGATGAACATCAACCAGTTGTGGTTGCACTGACAAAATTCGTCACTCAAAGTGGGTTGTCTTCGGCGAAGTACAGTATTATATATGTATGAAAGCAACCTTACCCCTCATTTCCTGGGTGCGCCCCTTCCAAGTCTTTCTCCTACGTGAATACAAAACAGTAGTGGTTCGGTTCGTACATTTGGCGGAAGTCTCGGAGGCCATGATGTCCAGGGTTCGCCCCACTTAGTTTATGGTTGAGGACCAGTCTAAGGAATCGAATGCAATCTCCTGGAATTGTACGCAGTAACGCACTTGTATATAACACTAGTACGGAGTATTCCTAGTCTAATTATGAGTCACAGCTACTAGAGAACTCCCAGTGCCTTGAGGGCCCACACTTACGGTGGGATGGGGGGTTCACTAATCGTCGGCTAAGCTTTACTTAGTATAGTTAAGCAATCTATGTTGGAGGACGCTGACTCTTATGTTACATCTGTTTGCTCCGGGGCACGGAGTAGTTCGTGCAGCAGTAGCTAGGTGGGTCTGTATCATTTTAGGCGACGTTGGGCTTTTTGTCTTGTGTTGTTAGTAAGAGGAAAATAAGGGATGTCGACAAGGAGAACGAAGCCCCTACAGAAGCAAAGAAGTGTCTCTAGGGCAAGGAAAAAGAGGTTCCTATTACAAAGCTAGTAGGTCCATGTAAGGAAATTGAGATAGCTGAGCCCTAAGGAGCTTAGCCTGCTGCCTAGCAACATCTCTCCATCTTCCCTCCAGCGGCTAATCTTTACATTCATTCTTCTTCTTATTATTATTCCACAGATTATACTTTTATAGAGATGGCCGGCTTGGCATAATTAAACCGTATTCAACTCTACCGAATTATTTAGGAATGAGTTGTTGTAAGCCATTACCGGCGACAGTACAATACGACTATTCTATAATAGGCCTGCAAGTCTCACCACAGTCGGACCATGCTATTATACTCATACAGGGCATTGAAATGAGCAAGACATCATATTACCACGGACTGATTAGAACGGAATGTCCAGAGCGAATTCGGACATGAATAAATCAATATCGAAGACCTTTGCAAGTTAGCATATTTAATGTATCAGATTAGTCTCAGCCAGCTTACCATGTCCATGTCCGCAGACGAGAAGCTTTTGGGCGTCGGGGCAAATGTCTCCACGTTAGGCCCTGAAGCCAAGCTCTGTTCATGCCTAGGGTCAGTACAGCATAGATATGGATGATCCATTCTACAGAACTCACATCGCTTGTTCCTTCCAAAGTATTATTACAGGGTGGTGGCGAGACCGGAAGCCCGAACTTTCCCAAACACTCTTGTAATTGACCTGGAATATCTGTTTCTACACCCTTTGATTTCACGATAGCAAACAGCAGTACAAGAAGTACATGCTCCTCCATCTCATTTTGGTTTTGTTCCCGTCTCATTGAGAGAATATAAAGGGTATCCTCGACTAATTTAAAATATTGCTGCACCAGACAAAGGTCTAGAACATCTTAGTTGAATATTCTTTTGAGGCCAAAAGGGATATATATCTGCTTACCTCGAGTCGGTGGTATGACATATGTGTCAGGGTCATCGGGCTGAGCCACCTTCAACGTCAAGCATAAGCAGATAACAGAGGTCAGGATGTCATTTCGATACCAGCGCCCAATAATGAATCGTTGTACTGGAGAGAGGTCCGGGTGCTGGTAGAGGCTGAGAATTGAGCGACAAGTGTCCAGAACCTGTTCCTTAGGATGAAGGTCTGATTTGAAAAGATCTGCTAATATGTAATGAAGAAATGCGCTTTGGTGAGTGAGACATGTCATAGCGTGCTGACGCTGATCATAAGTGCCTTGATCGAAGAATTGACGATTTGATAGTCCGTGTGGGGCTTTTGAAAGAAGTCGATTGCGTAGACCACAGGATGCGCAGTGCTCTCCTGGTAATTCTGCTAGTCCGATGTCATTATGCTTTGAATTGGCCAAGCGCAGGCGTAGTCCTAATGATTCTGATACTGCATGCTGGAGGGACGTATCGGTGGCAGATACTTTAACATCAGGCGTTGGTAAACGTGTCATATTAGCCGACAGGTCTCGATCGTTGATATCTAATGGGCGGCGTATATTGTATTGGGCTTGAAGAAATGGCTCTTGCACGCTGGCATGTCTTGAGACATGTAGATACAGCTCTAGGGCTGTTGTCCACAATCTCCTGCGCATTTCGGCGTCAAAGATGGACATATGCCCGCCGACCAATTCTGACTCCCGATGAAACCCCATGATAAGGCAGGTTTGCACCAGTTGTCCCGCTAGCTTCCAGGCAACCGTTGCCTTTGATCCATCGGTGATGCGAGCCACGACAAGCAAGCATTGTGTTTGAACATGATCAAGGGACGGTCGACCCTCTGATGATCTGCAGTGTGAGAACAGCTCAGCCAGCTGTAAACCCTGAGATTCTATGTATCGAAGCCATTCTGGAGAGACATCTTTTGAAATGCTTTCAGGATTGGGGTGCGCGAGCAGCCCGAGGCGAAGAATGATGACTAAATTTGCGACCCAGGAAAGGCTCAATGACCCTGGGGAGCGCCAAAAGGCTTCGAACTCCTCTTTGAAAGATGGAATATGGATCACACGGTGTATCTTCTCGAAGTTCTCAAAGTAGGCATCTAGCAGAGCGCTGGCAACTGTCTTGGAAGGGATAATAGCACGAAGCGCAGTATCGAGTGATAATGAAGGGACTAATGATGATAACGGCTCGGGTTTCTGCTTCTTGGCACGTTCTCGGATGCCCATGAACACTTGATTGATCATATAGCAGATGGGGTGACTGTTAGGTCGATGCCGGAGCAAATAGATTTCTGGGAACTGAGTATGATTGAGTGAATCTCTTAGTCACATTCTCATTTCTTGCAACCCAATCTACCATCATAATACTCACTAGATAAATTAAGCCCGTCCAATGCCGGCTGGAGACGAATTCAGTCTTACGCCCATTCTTCCCTCTTAGATAGCCTTCTGCCTCGAATATCTTGGGGATCTTGATGGGCACATTAGAAGGGGATGCTGTAATGCTGGTATTTGCTGGACGGTATTGCGGTTGGGGGTGTGTAGGTTGCGTTTGGGGCAGTGGTTCAGTGGCATTCTGGCTTGACAGGAGTGGCAGGTAGGTGTTCAAAAGACTTTCCACTTTGCTAACACGTGCAGTTAAGTCCTCCAGTGCCGGAGTGAGACTCGGAGGGTCTGGCAAAGGCAATTCTTGCGATATTGACGGGACTGTTGAGGGAAACGATACATTCTTTTCGCTTGGGTCTCTCGGCTGTTGGGTCGTGGGCGTATCCAAGTCGTCTATGTAGTGGCATGAACATTTATTCTTCGTGCATTCCCCACACGGAAGTCTGCGGTCACAGCGAGACCTGCGTCGCCGGCATTCGGCGCACGAGTTAATTTGTCGCCGTCTTTTCTTTCTTGGTGGAGCGTCGCCTTGTCCAGACTGTCGGGTTTTTGACGGAGACCTTTCAGGCTCCGGCAATCTATGGTGAGAGGCAGACTCGCTCATGATTACAGCATGCAGTGGCGCTTCAGCTTGTAATTCCACCCTTACCAGAGGAATTAAACCATGCCTCTTGGAAAAGATGCAGGGGTGAGTCGAGGCACAGAGGGCGGCGAGGTCGTATATACGTCGCCGAACCCACTGCGGTCGCAATTACGCCGGAATTACGGGGTAAATACGGGACTCGGCCTCTTGCAAGCTGATAGGCTGCTGCATTCCTATACTATAAATTCTAATGCCCTACATTCTCGTCCAGGTTGACATATGTGATTTTTTGTTTGTTTATACCTCGATAATAATACCTTTCCCTTCTATACAAGAATTAACTTAACATACGATGCACGGTCCTGAGGTCATGAAGACTGAAAGTCGACCTGATGCCGAGGAAGGTGGCCTGTTAACTGCAGACGGAACAAAACCCGGATCGTATACTCTCGAAGATTCGTTTCCAGAAAGCAATTTGGAGAAGGGTATAGTGGGCTGGGATGGCCAAAAAGATCCCAAGAATCCCAGGTAGCTTGGCTTTCACCGCAGACCATGAATCGAAAGCTGACCCGTCTCTGATGGTAGAAACTTTTCCAAGGGTCGAAAGTGGTCGATCCTAGGTTTTGTCAGTCTCATGTCTTTCCTTAGGTGGGAATCACGACTACACCTCCATTTCTGGCATTTTCGTTTAACCTCATATTAGTCCCCTTGCATCATCCATGTTCGCACCGGGCGTTCAGTTCATGGATGCGTCCTTTCACAACGAGTCCGAGGTCTTGAGCTCATTGGTCGTCAGCATCTTCTTACTTGGCTACGTTGTTAGTATCTCAGCTGGATCCGGGCTATTCCCTCTCTGATATAGCATAGTTTGGTCCTCTTGTCCTTTCGCCGCTCAGTGAAATATATGGCCGACGCCTGGTTCTCTTCACCGCAAACTCAATATTCGTCGTTTGGCAGATTGGCTGTGCCAAAGCGCCAAGCTTGGCATCCCTCATTGTCTTCCGATTGTTGGCTGGCATAGGTGGCTCTGGATGTCTTACGATAGGGGGTGGCATTATAGGTGACCTCTTCGCCCCAACCGAACGAGGGGCAGCCATGGCTGCGTTTAGTATCGGACCCTTGGTAGGTCCAGTCATTGGCCCCATTGCAGGGGGGTTTTTATCTCAGCAGGTCAGCTGGAGATGGGTATGTTAAGCAAACTTCACTCTTGTCCTATCAATGAATACTAAAGCGCTAGCAGGTTTTCTGGGTGTTACTCATCGCTTCAGGGACTGCGACGCTGGGCATCGAAGTCTTTAACACTGAGACAAACCCTGAAGTTATTATACAAAAGAAGACTAAGCTTCTCGCCAAACAAACGAACAGGCCCGACCTCCGCAGCTGCTATGAGCAGGGTGTATCTCTAACGAGCTTTGAGATCATCAAACGAGGCATCTTAGTGCCGATCACACTACTCTTCGCCACCCCGATCAGCTTCATCCTGTCCCTTTATATGTCTCTCGTCTATGGACTGCTTTACCTGCTCTTTACCACCATCACCGGCATTTACGAGGTCACATATGGCTGGTCACCCGAGTTATGTGGCCTGGCATATTTAGGAATCGGCCTGGGATTCTTCGTTGGGCTCGGGATTGTGGCAAAGTCCAACGACAAGACAGTAGTGACCCTCACGCGTAGCAACGACGGGGTATATGAGCCCGAGATGCGTCTTGCCGCGTGTGGTATCTTCGCTTTGTTCATCCCCATTTCATTTTTCTGGTACGGGTGGGCGGTTGAAAAGCATGCACATTGGGTCGTTCCTATTATCGGGATGATCCCGTTCGGTTTTGGCATGATTGGCGTTTTCATCCCAATTCAAACGTACATGGTTGACGCCTTTCCCAAATACGCTGCTTCTGCAGTAGCTGCTCTGACGGCCATGCGTTCATTGTTTGGGGCGTTTCTTCCTTTGGCTGGACCGCAGATGTGTAAGAGATTTCGTTTCTTCGTCTGCTTGGAAGCTGAAGAGGCTAATAGGATTCAATTGCAGACACAACGCTGGGGTATGGCTGGGTAAGTAGTGGAAAGTCTTAGGTCCCTGTGCTTACTGTTGATGCTAATATTTGGAGTAGGGAAACTCGCTTTTGGGTTTTATATCCGTGGCGCTCCTTCCAGTTCCATATTTGATATACAAGTTTGGTGGATATCTGAGAAAAAAGCACCCGTTGAATCTGTGAGCTCCTGTATTGCAGGGCGTATCACCTAAGATCTAGAGGTAGCAGGAAAGCAGACATGATACTCACCATTCATAATGAGCGAGGACAGGTCATCTTCGGGGTAGACAAATGAAGTATCTATACAAAACGAACCCAGGCCGTAGAGTTCATCTAGACTTCGTTTAACTGGCTACACTGGTGTTCTTATATACATTCGAAATTGTCTCTATAGTAGGATAAGATATTTTAATACAAGGCTAACTTCTTAATTAAAATGTAGTATGTTTCTACTGAAGTAGGATTAGAAACAGATTACTATGATACATTGATTGCCCAGGTCCTTGATGTTGTAAGTATATTAATAGGTGCAAGTGCTGCCATTTCGAGCTAGTTCGCTAACTATATAGTATTCAGAGATGCAGTATTGATCTCGAAGATAGAATGATTTCAAATACACAGTTGCACAGAAGGCGGTATGGTATGTTGAATACCATTTCACAGCAGGATAAGACTGTGACGTCTGTCTTTTCCCACATTGGGGTCTTTAAAGCTTTTTCAGATTTCTCTCCAAAAACTCTCAAAACATTGAATAAAATAGTAAGAATCAAAACTTCGGAAGGAATTAGCATACCCTTTGATTTGCCATCCTACATCGGAAGTCAGAAAATCTTTTTTGATCAACGACTGTCCGCCATCAGCAATTGGGAATAAATTGGACGACTTGAAGACCTTGGAAGAACCCTTATGGGAGTTCATAGAAAAGCCGTGTGCTTGTCGCATCGGATAATTGAATCTGGAGGAAATGTGTAGCTCATCACGGAAAGTGGATTCCGAGAGCCAATATGGGCAGACGGATCACACTCTTCTTTCTTGGGTGGGAACTCATGTGGTAGGCCCAGTACGTGCCCAAGTTCATGTAAAAGAACGTAATATAGGGAGCCGACAATGCAGGGCTCACGGGAAATTTCTGGTAGACGAAAAGAGTGTTGAGGTCGTTGGTCAGCTACATTGCCGTTTTCAGCAGTACCGTACACGTCCCCATCCCTTATCCCAACAACTTCACATCCTCAGACGTACTAGGTTATGTCTGTCCAGTTGGTTGCGTATATATGTGAGGCTATTATCTGTCCATTCGATTTCGTCGTGTCCGGCCGGGAGCCGTCTCTTAAACCCGCTCAATGCATCACAGCAGAGCGCTTCAGCATCGGCTAGGTTCCCTTTCTTTTGGAGTACATGGGCAAGATCCCTCATTGTGGCCAACGTGTCAAGGCTCACATCGCCGTTCTTCTCCTTTCGCTTTTCCAACAGGTCCCTATACAAGATCTCCGATTCGTCATTGGCCCCTAGACTTTGGAGGACGAACGCAAGTTGGCCTTGGATATAGAGCGTCCTTTCGTTCATTGGCCCCAACTCTATCTTCATTTTCTCGAATGTAGGCTCCAAGAACGATTGTGAGTCATTCCATCTTTTGAGATCTCGGAACAGATCACCTAAACTAGCTTGACATTCTAGAATTGCATGCATATTGCCGCTCCTTTTGCTTATTTCTAATATATCTCTGAGCTCGCGTTCAGCCATATCATGTCTACCACTCTCGTAAAGGTTCACCGCTTGCTGTCTGCGCGCGTCGAGAACGGCGTGATCATTTTCCCTGCCGGTGAGAGCTTTCCAACCAGTTATGGCGCGTTCGTACAATTGCTCTGATTCTGAGTATCGGCCCAAACGTTGTAAAGCGAATGCCCTGTTGTAGGCCGCATCAATCGCAGCTGGGTTGTTTGGGCCCAAGTTAGAGTTATTATCACATAGTTGTAGTATTCGATTATTCAACTCCTCGGATATTTCGTACTTTTTATGGCCTGCGTACCAAAAGGCGAGTTGCTCTGCTCGTCGCAAAAATTGGGCTTCCTCCAGGGGAGGAGAATTGCTTAGGCTCTGAAGCATTTCGTTCTTCCTTGTTTCCTCCTCTGTGTCCATTATATTATCCATCATGAGCTCCAGGTGTCCGATGAACTGCTTGTAGCCTGGGTTCTCTGGACCTGGAAACTTGCAAATTGTTGAATGATCGCGATCGATGTCAATTTCTGTCTCGCGTTGGGGAAGATCCAGTACAGCGCTCGTTTTGCCAACAATCTAGACAAACTGCATTAGCTCACGAGGGAATAATCTACGGAGGTCACACATACTATACCGTATGGCTTCATTGACCTAGTTTCATAAACTGATATGATATTAAATTGGTTAAGCTTCGCTTCAAAAAGACGAGAGAGTGTATCTGCCAAAGCGCTGTCTCTTTGAAGTAACTCAGGCAGGGAATTTCTCCCCTCTCGTTGAATAGCCCTAACTATATCCGCGCAAATGAAGCCGACCCCAACTGCGTCACCTGTCGCTCCACGGTGGGGTGTAGCAAAGAAGACAAGACCGCGACTGTTGAGGTGTGAACAGCGAACAAACCATACCAATGGCCATTTGATACGTACGTGGATTTAATGGCTTCTCGAAATTTGGGGTCGTCTAGTAGAAGGGCCTGCTTCACCACAAGGCCACCGAGGCTGTGGCAGATGAATATAAGCGGTCGTTCTGGTGATTCCTAACAGCTTTGTTAGACCCAAAGGCAATTTATCAAACCAACACTACCTTTCGCTTCAAAATCAACAAATTCATGAGCGTAGTTGCATGATCTTTGACACCAGCAATTGCCGAATTCCACGTAATGCTGGAATTATACGCAAATAGCAAGACGCGGACATTCGGTACAGAGGATGGTAAGAGGTCGCCTGGCCAAAATATTCTTTCTCGGTTTACGTCTGCTGTCCATGCATTCCGGGCATAGCTAGCCTCTCCTTTTACGTTTAATCCGTGAACAAAAATGATGCTTTCACAGTCAGAGCCACCACATCTTCATGGGAAATAGACTCACTCAAATCGAGCGTTCTTATTGTCTTTGATAATCTCCAGGTTGGGCTGCATTGCATATATGTCGTGGATTTTCAAAGGATTCCATTTCGTCATTGGGATTATACCGAGAGCAAGCCCACCTACTACCAAAAATACTTTTCTAGAGTAATTTCGAATGAAGTCCATGGAGAATTCAAAAGTACAGGACAACTGAAATAAAGAATATAATAGAAACAGACATGAAGTAAGAATTGTATACAGAGTGGCTTTGGAGTGTTGAGGAGTCTTGCGTAGACTAGCAGACTATGATCATATTGCTCGGTCACCATTGTGTCAGCGATGTCTACACCTAGGCCATTGCTACTCATACCACCCTCGATGTAAACGTCATGGATACATTAGAGGTAGCAAGTAACTAATATTCCGCTACCGACGTGATCCCAAGCTCTCACAGACTCTAACTTGGCCTCATGGTTCACAGAAATGGAAAAAGAGCTCCCACGGAACCACAGTTACGATTAACAGCTGCTGTGGAGTCTATAGATAGGAGTTGAGACTCTTACTTTATGACGAGGATAGAATTAAGATATTTATAAACCCACTGGTACGCTTGCCCATCGACTTATAGTTGACCTAAGTTTATTAACCTAATTAATTTCTATTATTTAATCATAACACATTTCTCATTTCTAATATTGGTCAAGCTTTTATTACTGGAGACGGCGGTTCCATAAGGCTGAGGCCAGGGCAGCCGGGGCAGTCAATTAAGGCAGTCTGGTCCACATAGAACTATGGCGTGATCTTAAAACTTGTTAATATATCATGGTTCACGTTCTTCCTGCCCCAAATTAAATCTGGCTAAACTGTATAACCTATAGTGTAGTATATTGGACGCCCCCCTCTAAATCAGTATGTGGTAAGACCATTTTACAACGTAGGCAAGACAGTTGAATATCAAGAGACACAAGCAAGTACCCCGGGAACATATTTGAATCATAGCCTATTTCAAGACTGCCACAAAGCTGGATAGAACCCGAACCACCCCCCTTTCCAAACCAAAGAACTAGGTCCATGCAAGTGGCAATATCGATAAGTGGAGACTCGCCAACGCTTTATTTTGGCGGACTGTGGGCATACCAAGGATCCCACGACTATGCTAGGCTAGAATACATTACGCCGTTGTCGCTTGCGGCGACGTTTTCTGTGCCAAGCAATTCCACGAGCAGCTACAGCAATAGAAGCAGTTGTGTTTCCTGTATTATACATATACGACAGATGCAAAAGGATTTGGTCCAGAGAAGAGGCACATAGTTTTGTCTTGACATCACGATATTGCCACTATGTTGGGCAATTGGCAGATAGCTCCTTCCAGGCATTGGAGTTGTGGCAAAAGTTATGAGAAGTCACTATAGCTTGCCCCAAGGGGAATGGCTCGCCTTTTCACAGTAATGTGATCTCGATGCTATAGTTCTGTTGAGATAACCCCATTACGTCTGTTCATAACTACAATCAACATTACCACTGAGAAATGTCAGTAGCGTTGGTCTTTATAACTATTTAATTCGTCCACCAAATTAAATTTTTATCGAGCGCAAGGGTAGAAGATGAACCCGAAGAAACACATGGATAGATGGCTGACCGCTGCGAGGAGAAATTATTCAGACTTTCTACTTAATCAGTACTCAGTAAAGTGATAACGGCTTTCAGAATTTCACGCTGGAGTGATACTCAAGTGACACTGAACTGCCAGTTGAATGTGCCATTAAAGATTGTCGGTATTTTATGGAAAAGAGAAATACTTAGCTAGTTGGACGTAGTCTGTTGAAGTACTCAGATAGCTCAATCTAGACTGTTATTATGTAAAGTTAGCAGTAGAGAACAGTTGAGGTAGTATAATCGTTTGCAGCTGTTTAGACCAAGAAGTTTGTACCAATCTACGTACAGGTAGATGCTGTGGAAGGGAAGCCCAAATTAAATAAGTCAAGGTTTTATGCTAAAAATTGGAGAGCTAGATTAGTTGAATTCATTTTGAAATTGTTACTCCTAAACTCTGCCTCCTGAGGATGTATAAGCTTAACTAGCAGAGTTAAAACTGTCTAGAAAGTTCGATGGCAGACAGAAAGCCTAATTTTAATAAAGAATCAGCCTTTTTCTGGCCTGCAAGAAATCGACCAAATATAACCCCACGCTGAAATGGTTCTAATTCACATCAAGTGGTCCTGTTAGAATTAGTAGACATTAAGGGAGTGCGAGGGATGATACAAGTGGTTGACAATATGAAGTATAATATTTGGTTGTGAGTCGCCTAGCGCAGATTTATGGGGACTTTTGTTTCAGGCTTCCTTTGTTCAGTAAAGATTAGGTCTAGAACTATCCATTGTCTTCTGAAGCTTTCAACAAAGCATTACTTAAGAAAGAATTTGTTGATTTTGCCAATCAATAAAAGCACGAACAACAAGTCAGCTAGCAAATCTGGCCTGAGCCGTCGCATGCAGGATCAAGGATCAGTATGGCAGATAATAGGTCTACCAAACGGCAGTAACGTGGTCCACTCGAGACCGCGTCCTGCATTATTGTTTCTCGTGGTCTAGATAACCTGACCGCCATGCTATTGAAGCCCCACTGATATCACCATCGATTATTAGAGCAGATAGTTAGATGTAGTCGATCAAGTTCTGGAACCCTCAGACGCTGTGCTTGGCGAGGAATTCGAAAATCGAGATTCGCTGCGAAAAAGATGATTTAGGTTTAATGTCAGTCTTCGTTGCAAACGGACGGATTTCCGACCTGGACGCCGATGGACCATGGTACCTCTTCGGTTACGATTCTGATTACGTGAAGCCCAGGAAGAAATCGTGTCACGCCATATACTAAGAACATGTCGATGCTTTTTTCATATGTGCACTACAAGTCCATGCGTAGATAGCCGGTCTCTTTATATAGGAAATCCATGGCATTATTGGCCAGTACCCAGTGTATTCAATCAACAATTATACATAACACTTATACCTGTGACGGCGCAGTTCCTATACAGGCCACAGAGTTGGTGAATACCAGCGAGTAATAATGTGATTCTGTCTTGGGTTCTACTAGAGATAGGCAATACCCCACGAGCGAGGCTATGTGGGATATACCATTCTTCAAGCGATGCTCTCGTATTAGAGCTACCATTTAGATCTATTTGTCTATATTGGCTTGGGCCGTTCAAATACCTCCGTCTTTGTAGGAGGCATTTGGAAGGCTTGGCAGTCGATCACCGGGACGTCCCAAGTTTATCCATACAACTTTATTTTGATTCTAGGTTACCTTTACGGTGGGGCCATGAGAGCTGGTGATGTTTACCAGCCAATGGATGCTTCTCTTGTGTTCAAGCCTAGGCAATCCATTTCTGATATATTGGCATCTTTTCAGACTTCGTTATAGAACTTTCTAATGGCCTAGGTCTTTCAGGTTCTAGAGCCATTGAGCTGTGTAACCTGAGCAGACCCTTTACCTTTATTCGCCGCATTTTAGTCCGTGTCGGTGACAAACTAATACTTTTGCAGACAGGCTGAAGAGGAAATTCCGGTACGACTATGTATTTCCCATCGCTAAGGCCATACCGGGATATCAAGGTTAAGCCGACGTTGATCTAGAACCACCGCTCTACGAGGTTCTGGCCCTGTTTTCTATAATGGCATTATCAGAAGAGATGATGATGATGAAATCGGGCTTCTTGCCGGCCCATTCATTGGTTTGAAAGTGGTATGCATATATTAAGGTATCCAGCGTGAAGATATATAAACTGTTCCTCGAGCGAGACCCGCCCCTAAAATTGAACAATCAAGTTTTACTTTGCCGTACTTGATCAAAGTTCAAATGCACATCCTACTCCAGAATTAAGACAATCATAACCAGCGAGAACCATGGCTTCAAATCAAGCTAGGCACTCTACGTTTAGAAGGACTGTATTCGTTAGTCAACTGGAGAAAGCCAAGGAAAAGAAACATCCTTTGAGCACTATCCCCGTAACAGAAACTGGCAAGCCGAGCGACACACCTTATGAGCCTGAAAAAGACAAACCTGGAGAAAAAGTATATTCCTGTGCGACTGAAAAGAAGAGGGCAGTGAACACGGGTTTAGCGTCTTTGCGAGTTGGGGCTGGACAATACTCTGACCGCTGGGCATTTGGCTCCACAATCAATTTTGCTGCTTTCGCAGAGGGATATCCCGAGAAGAGATATGCTCTACTAGCCGCAAAGGCGCTCGACATGGCAGCCCAGGAGTGGAATAACGTGAAGTTAGGTGTACAATTCAAGCGGGTTTCAAACCTCGAAGACGCTGCATTCGTTCTTGCGTATGGAGGTGATAATGGGGATACTCTCGCCCAAGCATTTTTCCCAAATGGTAAAGATCTCAACACGCTTAATGTTTACCAGAGGGCGTTCGAAGGGGAAAATATTAAGATGTTGAAGAATATCTTCCTACATGAGCTTGGACATGTGTTAGGCTTGCGTCACGAATTTGCGGCCGAGCGTGAGGCAGGAGTTCGATCTTCTCAGATCGGCACGGCAAATCCCAAGTCTGTCATGAGCTACACATTTCCTCCTGAGATCCAGGAAAGTGACGCAGAATATGCCCGGCAATTCTACAGCTTGCTTCCCATCAGAGACTTTGAGCCGGACAATTAATTCAAGAAGAAATTAATTGTCTTTCTTCAAGAGGTTTCAGCTGTGGAAACATAACATCTACTTTTCAGTCCTGGTACTTTATTTGTTTGTCTTCTGGGTAAAAAATGTTCAACACGTGATTCTTGTCAAAAAAATTGGCCACGTCCATCATTTATTTGTTGATTATGTAACGAAAAGTCCGGAAATACCGACAATGTAAACACAATTGTGATTGGAATATTGAACTATTTTCGTTGATCAGAGTGTTGGCCTCACTAGCTAGGTGGTATGTTTTGGCTTGGTTCAAAGCAGAATGTACAGTGCCGCCGCCCAAAGGTTGTTTTGATTAATCGGGTTGCCGCGCAACCCAACCACCCCTCCACAAAAAGATGTATATCTTACAACGCAAAACGGATTATATTGATTTCGGTATATTGCATGCAAAATAAATGGCAAACAATTATAAATCAAATTGCCTAGTCCTTGGTATTCCGCCCTATTGCTTCTGCAACAGCCTCAACCCGAATAGTTCATACCTCTTGTCAGTGTACTGTATATTGAATATCTTGACTGATTACGACCCATGACAGCTGTGCCGTCTCCCATAAGATGTCATCCCTCTTAACATTTGATCCCTTGCAGTTTTCAATGGTGGGGACCATGTAGTAGATACCTTCTCCAAGTGGAAAATTACATGTGTTCAATGGGGTTTGGATTAGGCAAATATGGTGGCTAACTTATTCTATGGAGAGAATTATATAATCTTGCAACCATAAGTTACAGTAATCTCTATGATTACTTAAATAGGAACATGCTTATGTATGAAACTAAGACTCGGTTCCTAAATACTAGGTATTATTTCGTTCAATTAAGCTATATAGGAAGTTATGATGACTCGGAAATGGCTTTGTTTGAAGCGCTCCTGCTACGTAGGGTCGACAAGGCCGATTTGGTACATTTATAGAAAGAACTCTCTCCTCATATAGCCCGTGATCGTAAACAATTAGTTTGAAATTGATGAATTCCACACACATGGCCACACACATGGTCTGCGCAAAGAGCTTCACATCACATGGCAATCAAACAGCTCTTGAGCAACTGTGTCCTCCAGCAAACAGTTTACCGCTGCTATGACAAGCCTATCAATTAAAGCATAAGCACCCGTATAGATGAGAAAGCTCACAAGCTCAGCTGTTCCATTTTAACGGATAGTAACTCTTCTAGGGAAAACCTCTTTGCATAATTGTATCCCTGTATATGTGTGCGAGTAAATGCTTTCTTGAGATTTGGATTACAACCTATTCTATGCGTCTCACAAGCCCTTGTCAATGATGTGGGCGAAATACAAAACTCTATGCATTTAGCTGGAATCCACCGATACGCAACCCAGTAGTTCTCATTTGCCCACTCGAGCCCTAGTTCTTCAGCTAACGTTGTTGTACGGTTGAACAACACTTGAAAAGCCAGTAGCTTCGACGGATTGATCACAGCTATCATACCTCCTCTCTCATTACTCCAGCGCCAACCTGCAACAATCCGCAAGATCCTTGCTGGGCTATCAGACATTGCAATTAAATCTGATGGTTGAGACCGTTCGCAGTGGGTTCGCAAGACTAGCTCGTTGACTAACAGGCTGTCACACGAAGAGTACCCTCCTGGTGGCAAGATATTGTCAACGGTTGTCTAGAAGAGCGAAAACTAAGGTCTGCATCATAGCGACTATAACATGATGGTCGGAAAGCACGATAGAAGACACTGGGAGTATCCGACTCGGGGCTGTTTACCTTATGAAAGTCCTGGCCTAAGAAAGCTGTATTCAGTCTTTTAAGTATAGTATCTTGATATCTAGAGGTAAAGTTAATCTGGCATCGGCCAGCCTTATTTCAGTCTTTCGTTTCTTTTCTGACAACGAAAGCCCATCATCTGCGTTATCGTATACAAGGTTGTTACGTGGACTGTGGAGCTCCTCATCTACGGTCCATAAAGTCACTAATCATAGAGTATCTGCAATGAAGACTCTGTCATTGAGCGTGTCGACGATTTTTGCAGCAGCTTATTGTACTCAGCGAATTCAATTTTTCGTCGTTGTACTTAATCTTTTCATCCGTGAGTGGCTTCCCATAAAATTTGACGACGTGATGCCACGCTGGGACCGGAACTGGATGAAGGCCGTATCTCTCTGAAATACACTATTGTTTGTTATAGTACTTTTAAAGCTGCTAGTCTAGTTTCTTTAAATCCTAAATATATTCTATCTTAACTAGAATATTCCGCGCAAAGTTAACATATTAGCTGACTAATCATTTTCACTACCTTATCTGCAAGACGTATTATAGCACATAACTAGCGCTCACAAAACCTTATGAAACATTTAGAATATTCCAAACAGACCTCCAGCAGTTCTTCTTGCATCCCGCACTCTATTTGGCGGTCGAGCTTTCTCTCCGCGTGTTACGCTTGTGTCCTACCCTCCGCCATTCCTCCAGAATCGAATCTCTCTTTCGAAATGCTCATCAAGATCGACGACATTAAATCAACTCCAGCCGTACTTGCCTTGATTTCCTTGCATGTGGCCGAAATAAACCGCCTGGTCGATTCCAGCGATGTTCTTGACGTTTCGAGCCTGCAAGCATCAAATGTCACTCTTTTCTCTGCCTGGGAAGGCCATGAGTTAATGGGAATTGGAGCCCTGAAGGAATTGTCACCAACACATGGCGAAGTGAAATCAATGAGAACAGTCGCCACACATTTTCGCAAAGGTGTTGGACGGGCTATCGTCGAGCATCTCATCAAGGTGGCAAAGGAAAGAGGATATACCAGGTTGAGTTTAGAGACCGGGAACGGCGCTTGTTTTGACAATGCACGAGGTTTTTATACTAACATGGGCTTTGAGCTTTGTGATCCTTATGGACCTCTACCCCCATGCCCAGATAGTTCTTTCATGACTCTGAAGCTAGAAACCTGAAGTCAAAGGACCTACAAGCTTCAACGGGCGACAGTACCGAAACTCTGATCCGCAATGCTTATATTGGTCGTCGTGACATTTGCCCCAATTGCAGTATCCCGACAGTATATATAAAAAACATCGATATATCTACATATAACAAATTAGTTTCAGACTGACCTCTACTAATAGTAAAGTAATAGTAAAACTAATGAATAATAGAGAAATTTTAACCCGGGAATCCTGTTTAACTCGGTATTGTTTTTTCGATGCCAACTCTACCTCCTCCTGGCAAAGCCACATTTCTGTCCCTTCTCAACCTCGAGGACCAAATTTTACAGAAACTTAGGAGAGCCAGCGGCTATTTCATAAGAAGTTGTTGTTCGGTAATGCTTTTGCCCGTACCTGGAAAGGACAAACAGCATTACACCTCGCTTGCGGCACAGGAAGTTCTACGAATGTCTACAAGTTCCTTGACTGGGGTTGTTTTATTATGAACAAGGATTCCGAAGATGTGACCGCTTTGCATTACGCCGTGCGCTAGAACAGATTCTCCACTATTCTAGCGTCTGGCCCACGCCTCCAATTGACCATGTCGAGTGTCATCCCTCATGGTGTGTTCTAGACAATACAGGTTTGGGTGAAGAGCTTTGCCATCCCAACGCCCAACCTTTATGTTGACCCGGCACCATCTTCCTTTAATCCTTCTTTTCCTTTCTTCGCTTTGCCTTTACCTAGACTCAGTAATGCTTTGTAAATAAAGGCCTTGGCTGACAAATTCTGACACTGTATCTGCGCCGTATCTGCGCCGTATATACGAGAGATCCGCTATATCTTGGCTATATAAGCTGTGAGTTTCGCGTGTGCATCACACCACAACAATTCGCATTCCACTATCAAATCAAAAAAAATAAGCAACCCCTGCTATTGTCATTGCAAGAGACATGGCCAACCAAGCAGCAGTCCTCACTCAATCCCACGGTCCCCTAACCATCCAGGGCCTCCCTATCCCAAAATGTCAACCCACAGAAGTGCTAGTGAGAGTGAAGGCAGCCGCCACCAACGCTGCAGACTGGAAGATATACTCAGGCCACTTCCCCCAGGATCTCCCCCTAATCCCAGGCTGTGACATCGTCGGAGAAATCACCGAAGTAGGCTCAAGCGTAGCCGGCTTCAGCATCGGCGACAGAGTAGGCATACACTAAACTCTTCAAACCAAACGATAATGCAACGCATCTCCTGACTCACTCACAGGTAGCAGGCTACACGCAGCAACAACTCACCGGAATGCAATCCATGATCACTACAGGCCGAGTCGCCTCCGACCTCCGCCACGGCGGCTACCAGACGTACGTCCCCATGCTCCCGCGCATGATCTTCAAAGTCCCGAGCTCCATCCCCGATGAAATTGCCGTCGCCTTCGGTTGCTCCTTCTTCACTGCCGCTACTGCCGTCTTCAAATCCCTCGGCTTTCCCTACCCCTTTCCGGAGAAGGCTCCCGCCGAACCCCAGAAGGTCCTTGTCTGGGGCGGCGCCAGTGCTGTTGGCGCTTTTGCGATCCAGCTGCTCAGGGCGTCACATGTTGATGTCACGACTGTTTGTTCCGCGAGGAACTTTGACTATGTTAGGAGTCTGGGAGCGAGCCATGTTATTGACTATGGAGCCGGGGATGTGGTCGCGCAGGTGAAGGCGCAGGGTCTGAGGTTTGGAATTGTGTTTGATGCGATCTCGTCGCAGGAGACGTGTACTGCTTGCTTGGATATTGCTGGGGAGGGAGGCAAGGTGGCGAACGTGCAGTTTTTGGAGGCTCTGAGACGGCCTAATATTGACTTGGTGCATACGAACGTTGTTGATATCTTGGGCGAGTCGGTAAGTCACTCACTCACTCACTCTTCAGTACGGTAGTGTGGTTGTGCTGAGATTTGTAGGATGCGGACTTCCTTTCCTCCTTGGTTGGGACTTGGACACCGAAGGCCTTGAGCGAAGGGGCTTTGAAGGGTGTCCGGTACACGAAATACTCTGGAGGCTTGAGCGATGTTGATCGTGCAATTCGGGATCATCGTGATGGCAAGATTGCTGGAAAAGGTGTTATTTGCGGTATCTAAAGGGTGCGGGCTGTGTGTTTGGTTCATTTGTCAAGTAGTAGAATAGAGTGGTATATTTATATGTTCCATCGCCTTGTGCATCTTGTCTCTGCTATCCTCACCTGACACTAACCAGTGGCCGTTACCTTCACGTATGCAATTGCGATGATTTGTATGTACACATGGAAACGATTTTAACCAGCAAGTTCCGCATTTAGTTCAACACCGCTATTTAGCTCTCTAGTATATTCATGAACCCTGCACACATAACAACCCCATCAAGACAGGCTATTTATACTGCGGGTATTCCTCCTGGGTCCAAACCTTCCAAACGAGCCTCTCTCCACTGACAGTGCCACTTCGTAGGATATCCAGAGCCGTGGAAGCTCTCTGCAAAAGCGAGTCGCCTTGAACTTCACGATACTTATTCGGCTCAACAGCACCTAGCTTGAGCAGCGCGGGAACAATTTCCGGCAACAGATGATCCTTTAGGAAAGTATCCTACTTTAACGTCAGCCGTCCGAACTGCAAATCAAGATTCGAAGTGACAGTGTTGTAAATACCGCTTCAAACGCATAGCTTATAACACCATGGATATTTACACCCGGCACCCAGGGTGCTTCCGCGACCACGTCGGCCGAAATATGCACGCCTTCTTTGTGTGAAGGAGACCGGATAACCACAGGAAGAACAGCAGCTACCGTTGAGCCCGGCCGAGTTACGATTTCGGCGAGGTGCTGCAGAGACCCGGACTTTGAGGACACACAATCAAAAGCGCGGATAGAGAGGCCGGGGCTTTCTGTGTGAAGTATGTTGTGGATTATATCAACCGCGTTTGGGTCTTGATAATCGATGACATGTTTAGCACCGTAGCCCTTAATCTTTGTGTGGTGCTTGGGAGATGCCGTTGCAATGACGTTCGTGTAGCCCCAGTATTTGAGGATCTGGACTGCGAATTGACCAACAGAGCTCCCTGCGCCCCAGACAATAATTGGTACGTGTTGGTCCTGAGGAGAAAAGCTGGCGGGACGTGGCCAAGGCAGCTCCAGTTTAAGCTTGTCAGAGAGAGTCAGAAATGCGGTACAGAAATTCGTCGGTACCGTAGCCGCAGCGGCGAGTGGCATACGAGGGGGAACCTAGTTTTATCAGTCAGACTCTGATCTATGGAATGTGGTTTACGGGATGTTATGAAAGAGATATCTATACTCACCTTTCCAAATAAGTGTTCTGACGCGGTTACATAGATCTGTTGGCCCTTTTCCTTTTCGTTGTGAAAAAAGAACCCAAAGACCTGATCACCAACACGAAGGCGCTCGACACCGGGGCCAACTTCCACCACGGTACCAGTACCGCTGTCGCCGAGACCTTGAGGGAACTGAGCCATTAAGCCAGCCTCCACTTGGTACACGTCCAAGGGTGCGGAGGGTACCCATTCTATTCGGACCTGGACTTCGTTTTGCTGGGGCTTTGGGGTCGGGACTTGAACTAACTTCAACGGCTGCTTGACGCCGGTCATTTGAATTGCAGGATGGGTGGCCATGTTTCTTTTGGAGACCAAGTTTGGAGGAGGAATAATTGCCAGCGATGGAGATTCCCACCCAACAGCGAAGATAGGCTTCCTTTATATGTTAGGTAGTGGGGAAAGGTACTAGTAGACACTAGGCTGGACGTAATTGTGCATTATGGTGTTGGGACAATGTATGATGAATAACAAGCTGCTTACGCTGTGCCATTTGGTGATTTGTGTAGATGGTCGATCAAGCTTTAACAACATCAATGGCAAAGATAGGGCAAGCGTTCGGACTTAGTGCGGCATTAGTGGTTGGCCGGTGAGCCCTAATTGGATCCCGATGGACCAAACTGGACGTGAGGATGATTATAAATCCAACTCCAGGAGCTTTAGCCAATGAACATCAAGGTGTAAGCGTCTTATTTTAAAGCTAAGATTAAAGCCAATGACGGCGTGTCCCCTAAACTTCCTTATCACAACGCTCAGGTCACAACTACGACGTATTGAGATTATTGGTCCCATCAACATGACAGAGGAGTCAAGGACCGAGCAAGCAGTGGATCCAAGACCATCGATGAGGCTTCAGCGAATGTCAGCGCAGGCAAGGGCGTATTCCCCCGATGAGGACTGGACCGGTGTCACGAATCCGGCTGCGCGGCGCAGACTACAGAATCGGCTGAACCAGAGAGCCTACCGTGAGATTTCCATTTGACCCCACAACGGATCCAAGACCCGACCCAAACTGACCAAGTTCGATTATGCCGGATCGCAGGGCTACGCCGACAAGGTCGGGACACACGAGCTGCGCAGGCGAACAGTGCCCAGCCTGAGTCCGCGGGGCATGGCCCGACTACCGCAAAAGCGCCGGCACAACATGACTCTATTACATGCGCATTATCTGAGGTGCAACATCTGGAGTGTACCTTTGCCCCTCCAAACGTACATGCACTTATGACCCAGTTCGAGAGGGCAGCCATGGCACGCTATGTTGAGGGTTCACCCAGAACAGACCTTCTCCTCAATTTGAGCAGGCTAAATGTTCTACGCGCAGCTTACCAGAACGTCGTCGCAATTGGCATGACTGCTGAATGGATGTGTCAGGATAGTACAATCTCTATTTTTAGTTTGGCCAGTCCACAACGTTGTGAGGATAGCATTCCTCCAAGCTTGCAACCAACGCCATTGCAGCGAACCGTACCGCACCACCCATGGCTTGATATTTTCCCGATTCCACATATGCGGGATAACCTCATCCGTGCCGGGAGCGATTTAGATGATGATGAGTTGTGCCATGATCTCACGGCATTCTGGGATACACGCAGTAGCAACGCCACAATGCTGGTATGGGGAACCCCTTGGGACCATGAGAATTGGGAGGTCACGGAGGATTTTGCCAAGAAGTGGGCCTTTTTTCTTCGAGGGTGTCCCGAGATTCTTATTTCGACAAATAAATGGAGAGCCCGGAGGAGTGAAAAACCCCTTGTTTGGAAGAAGGTCTTTGGTACTCAAAAAGGGATAGAAGAATAATCGGTTCGTTTCCACTATTATAGCATCTCTAAACCTGCCATACAGTAGGATACCAGGTGGAAGGTGTATATTTATCAGTATGCAGAGGTTGCGTGTCGTCATCACCTAGCTCGAAGTCAAACACATTTGCATTTTCTTGTAGTCGCTCCAGGTACTATAGTTGCAGCTAAACATGAACGAAAGAGGCGGAAGAGCGTCTCCCAAGGCGATACCCGTCGGTGACATCCCCGAATCGGCGTATATACGGAGTAATGTACGGATTCACACAACTGCTATTGACGCCAGGGTCTTTTAATTCCAAGATTAGCTGAGCGGGGCTTGATAGATAAACGCACCTTGAGACACCCCTACCAAGGTTGCTTGTTTATATCGCCAATCACCAATGGTTGCCGTGACTAACTGAAACCCAGACCCACGAGAAGAGGACTCGGAATGCAAGCTGCTTACAGATCGAATATTATTGGGCAACAAAGTGGGTACTATAGCCGTGTCGGAGGAAACGGAGATAAACGGAGCTGCAGTGTAATGTAGCGACCAGGTCAAGTCAGGATATAAATATTAGTGAAGAGCCCATCGTAAAACTATGAACAACCTCTCACACATTCTCCAAGAGGCTCTTCCTTCTTGCATTCAACCATACTAGCATGGCATCACAGAAAGCGGTCATCATTACTTCGCCCAAGCATGCGCAGGTAGTGGGCGATAGAGCCATTCCGAGGCTGCGTGACGATTACATTTTAGTGAAGACCGTCAGTGTCGCACTGAATCCTACCGACTGGAAACACATTGACTTCCTCGCTCCGGCTGGTGTCCTGGTTGGGTGTGATTATGCCGGGATTGTGGAAGCAGTCGGCAAAAACGTCAAGAAATCATTCACTAAAGGAGACCGGATCTGTGGGTTTGTACACGGGTCTAATGCCGTTCAACCCGAGGATGGAGCCTTTGCCGAGTATATCATGGTCGAAGGAGACCTTCAATACCGAATACCTCAAGGCATGGGATTTGAAGAGGCGGCGACTTTAGGTCTTGGAGTTACCACCGCCGCTCTTGGCCTTTATCAAAGTCTCAAGCTTACTCTTCCCGTGGCTCATATCCGGAGCAAAATGCCCATCTTGGTATACGGGGGCTCCACGGCTACTGGAGCTTTAGCGATTCAGTTTGCGAAGTTATCAGGTTATGAAGTTTTGACAACCTGCTCCCCTCGCCATGCAGCGATCTCAGCAGAGATAGCGCCGTTCTTGGCGTTCTTGTGGCAGATAATGTCGGCATCGGCATATGAGCTACCATCAACAAATCCAAGGTCGGTGGCATCGGTGGCCCATCCAATGACCTCGGGGGGGTTAGACATGTAGTGGTAGGACATGTCATATCCAGAGTAGTACTGTCCGTCAACGACGGCACCAGAGACATAACCGTGACCGGCGACCAAAGCGGCCGAGCCGAGGACGACACCAGCAATCTTAGCGATAGACATTTTGATATGTGAAGTTTTTGAACTGATCAACGCGCAGCGTTTCTCGTGGTTTGAAAGGACCGAAGTGGGAAGGAATGAAAAGAATGGATCTTCAATCAATGAAGATAATGAAAGAAAAGGAAGAGAATGGCAGGTTCCGAGACCCTAAAGAAAGAAAGGAATGCAAAGCTGATGAGGAATAGAAGAATACGTTAACCATCGTCGCGAAATGACTGCTTTTATAATGCCGTCGGCCATAGTCTTCAAGATGTCGAGACTGGGCTAACGCTCAGACCAGACTGCTTCGAAATTAATGAAGGTCCATTATCGATAGCTCTGCTACACATATATTAAGTGCAGCAGCCAGCTCCACCACCGGTCCAATTTTCCGATAGGAGGAGATTCACCTCGATAGCGATAGTGCTGTGAAAGAGTTTTGGATTGATGAAAGACAAGCACTGGCGGGGAGGTCCACCAAGGGCCATGGAATTGTAGCGTCCAAAGGCGAGACGCTCCGCCAGGAACATTGACTATTTGGGAGCTAGTGGCACCCATATGGTCCATCCCAAGTAATCGAAAGAGAGAGACGAAGTAGGGTTCGGGCGTTTACCCTAACGGTTGGCTGCCGACTGGGCCGTGAAGTGGAGGCGTGGGGCCTGCCCTAGGCGCTTGCCTCTGACAGTCTAGGTTTCAACTTCGGGAATTTTCCTCTCAGTCTCTGGATTGCCAAGAATTAAGTTCCCCCTCCGTATGACAAGATGCAATTTCCTGCTCTGAGATATCTCGATTCAGTCTCTACTATGCCTTGTTGGATTACGGACGTGGCGCTACCAAGAGATTCTATTTGCCATTCGGGCAATTACTGCTCGTTCGGCAGTTAGGCCTTTTCCTCCCACGTGTTATGCCGTGCCTTTCAGTGTTTGAAGTCTCTATGGTGATCTCTAGACTTTGATGTCTACTAGTCACCAACCAGGCCGTTTCTGAGTCATGTCTCTGGCTCTTTCATAATCACGTCGTTTCCACCGCGTGGACTGCGATTGAAAACATGCCGCCGTATCGATGGAAGGAGGAAGAAAAACTAACCTCCTACCCCCTATCTGTATACCTCCCTAGTCACTTGGACATGGCCCCATGCCAGCCAGGGCATTGCCACCGAAAGAATGCAGGGTAGCGAAGTACGCGCCTGACTACTGGATTAGGAATTCTATAAATTAAATGGCAGGGGCTACTTCATTAATCCTTGGCAATAATCTTATATAGTTCCAGTTAGTTTTACCACTATAGGCTGGACAGCTCCGTTTTTCCAGCACGGATCACTGCCAAGTCAGGTACCTCTGAGTTTCTAATTAGGGCTATCCAGTAACCTCCGGAATTAATACAGCCTAAAAGGCTAAATCAAGGCTTTACTCTATTGAAAACGGACATTCCCTTCGCTTCCGAGTGCCACACTCGTATTACTGGCTTAGCCATATCGAGAATACCGCTGAACGTTGGCTTGTGGTCTGGACGCTGTTAGTATATGGAGTGGGACCGTAATGCATAGGGTGAAACATTTAACGACTGGGAATACTGATATGTCTATTCCGGTGCCTTCGTCCGAGTTCCTCATCTGCGACATGTGCGGGATCACAGAGACTGGGTGGGCATTCAAACTCTTTGTTATGTGGTCAATACTCCTGAGTTAAAAAGGACTTGATTAGATAGGTTAGTCTATGAGGCTTGGTCGGGTTATCTTCGGGGACATCTCGCACTCGTTTTGTGCAGTTATTTGCAGACTCCTCAGATTTCATTGCGGACTCCTTACCAAATCAACATATCTTCCCTCTCTCTTATCCTCGGCATCCCCTCCTTGGCTTGGGCCTTTTGTTTTTCTCAAACGGAATTCGAGAGATACCTGGTTTTGATATTCTTCAATCATTGATTTAGGGGAGTGGCCACTCGACACTGGAAGATAGTACTGCTGCTACTTCTGAACACATGTGTTCTTCCTTCCTCTTCTCTGTCTCTTTCTCTTCCTCTTTCTTTTTCTTCTTCCTTCAACCCTGGCCTCACGCTTGTAGCCTAGGCTAACCTCGAGATACTTTTCCAAGACGTTGATTCAAGGGCTCTGTCACACCATTACAAAACC